AGGAGCAGGCGGCGGCGGAGGCTGCAGAGGCGCAGGCGGGCGCAGAGGCTGCGGCGCCGAGGGCGCAGGGCGGCTCACGGCCGACTGAGGCGCAGCTGCAGCGCGTGGCTGCCCAGCTGCTCGAGGCGCTGCGCGGCGCGCTGCACGCGCCGCTGCCGCCCGTGGCGTACGTCCACGCGCAGCGTTGGCAGGCGGGGATCACGCGCGCGCCGCTCGGGCTGGAGCCGCCGTGCGCCAGCTGGGAGGAGTACGGCCTCTTCGCGTGCGGCGACTGGGCGGCCAAGGAGGCGAAGGTCGAGGAGGCTGCCCTCTCCGGTTTGGCGGCCGCGCAGGCGGTTGGCCGCGCGCACGACGCGTCGCAGCGCATGCGTAGCCTCCTCTCGACAGCGCCGCCGCCAGGCGGGCCCGACGCGGCGGCCGCTCTCGAGGAGCGCGCGCGCGCGAGCTGGGGCGAGTGGAGGTGCGCCGCCTACTCGCCCGAGACGCCAGCCGGCCAGTTTCGCGAGAGCAGGTGGTGGGACGCCCCCGGCCGTGAGGCGGCCGCTGAGGAGCGGTGCCTCGTCACCGCCGGCCGCGCGACGCTTTGGCCAGAGGGTGGCGGGCCGCCGGTCGAGATTGCAAAGGGGGACTGGGTCACCTTCCGCCGCGGCTTCCAATGCACGTGGGTCGTCAACGAGGACATCGCCAAGCGATACGCCTACTTTGACGCCGAGGGCGCGGAGCTCGCGTGCGAGTGAGCTCGGTTTGTCTCTCCCGCCCTTAGGTCTGTAAAGTAGGTCTAGCCTAGCGCCCGTGCGGCACTCTACGGCTCTGATTCGTGATTGGCGTTTCTTTCGTCGTACGCGGCGTTTTTGTCCGGCGTGCGCGGGCGGTCGCTTCAGCCTTCAGCTTCACACCGTCTGGACTCTGCGAGTCTCTCTGCAGGACTCTGGACTTCCTCTCTCTACTCTCGTTTTTGAAACAAAATAGACCTCCAAATCTACAGGAGGAATAACGGCGCGCGACTACCTTCTACCAGACCATCTCAGTGACTCAGTCCCTGCATATACCATATTATTAGAAGACGCGGCGTTCGGCTCATCGGTGTGCGGTACCTCCTTCACATCGGCATATCATCCACCTCTCCCCCGCTGGCCGCGGAGTGGCACTTTCCGTCGGCGCTGCACGCTTTTAGCTCCATGGTCTCAAAGCAGTCCTCGTCTGCAGGCGCGCACAGCGAGCAAGAGTCGCCCTCGCTCTTGCCGCGACAAGGCTTGTAGGGCAACTTAGCCGCAGCCGCAGCCATCCGCTCGCGCAGCGAATCTTGGCCGATCTCGGCGGCAGCGTCCATCGCCGATGAGCCGCGCTCGTTGAGGATCGTTGGGTCGGCGCCGGCTTCGAGCAGCAGCTCCACCATCGCCGCGTGTCCATGGTAAACCGCCCAGTGGAGGGGCGTCATCTGCAGCGTGGAGCCGCGAGGCGTCCTCGCATTCACGTCGGCGCCACCGTTGATGAGCGCGCGCACCGTGGCCTCGTCACCCTTGATGCCGGCGACGTGCAGCGCAGTCTCGCCGTCCGCACTCCGCTCGCTCGTGCCGTGCCCTGCGTCCAGCAGCTCGTGGACCCGTGCCGCGTCGCCCTCGCCCGCCGCGTAGATCAGCGGCCAGCGCTCGCGGTCGGCTGCCTCGTCAGCGGCAGCGACAGCGGTAAATAGCAGCAGCCAGCGGGCAGGCATCGTGACGCAAGCTGCTGGACGCCTCGTTGGCGACGAATAGCGTTGGCGACGAAAAGGTGAGTTACGCCAAAGTGAGTAACGCCACACACGCGGGGTTCGGGCCCTTGAGAGGCGGGGGCGCTCCATTCGGTCGCCACATTTCTTTCCTTTAACAAGGCGATCGATGCGTACTGCATCTGTAGTCATCACAGGGGCCTTCTGGCGACCGTTCTGAGTGGTGCTTCCTGCGATCCCCAAACCGCCAGGGCAGAACAAGCTTAGCTCGGCTTGTGGCTGGGAGACAGGGACGGCGCCGAAAGGAGTGCGGGTGAGCGATCGGCGGTTGAAGCGAGGCTGCGCGAAAAGGGGGCCGCGCTACGACGGTCATCGCGAGGCCCTCGGGTCGGCGGCGGCAGGGACGTCCTCGGAGTGTGGCGTGCCCTCGAGGCCGTCCGGCAGCGGCTCCGGCGTCTGGCTTCGAGAGATGTGCTCCGGCTGCGGCGTTAGCACTGCGAGGCGAGCGGGGAGCGGGGCGTGGATGGGCGGGCGGCGGCGGTGTCAGCAGTGGCGAATCGCAGTGGGTCACGCACCAAAGTTGCCAGAGTCGTCGTCGCGCACCGTCTGCGCCACGTTATGCCGCAGGAAGGCGGCCGCGTCCCTCGCGTCCTGCACCTTGCTGGCGACCTCGCTCTCCCGCACGTCCGCGTTGAGAGCAAACTGCTCGCGCGTCTCTGTGATCGCCGCGGCGCGCGCCCGCGCGTCCTCGCCAAAGAGCTGGCGCTGCGCCCGAAGCAG